AAATGTAGACCTTTCTAAACACCTGGTACCTGGGCCCATGGTCCAATCATCCCCTTATGCAGCCTTGCTGGTAAAGCAAGCTCAGATCTCACTAGGAAACCTCTGTGGGATCCCACAGTTTATTATCTTGAGAATAAAGGTACCATCATGCTGGAGCTGCACATCCTACACAAAAGTAAAATGGTGACCTCGAGAGAGGCTTGTAGGCTCCTTTTAGGCAAAGCTAAGGGGAGTTCAGGAACAGTTAGTCATCTCAGATATGACTGGCTTTCGTGAGTGGCAATCATATTAGTATGTTCTAATTGACTGGGGTTGGTTAAGGTTGCAGTTTTTCCATTTTCGGGCAGTCCTGGACAAGTCCCAGGTTTTGTCCTTATTTGGTTGTGACCTTGAGCTGCTGTGGGGGGTCTAGCTCAGGCCTGGTATGTGCAGCTCCGCCCCCCCCATCCCTGCTACCTGGGGCCTTGGAAATGGATTGTCCTTTGTTCGTGGCTCCCTCAGAAATGGCCTGTCCAGTTCAAAGAGGCAGGAACTGAAGCCTAGTTCTTAGCTGAGTTATTGGGAGCCTGTCATGGTATTTGCCTGGCCTTCTCAGGTGTTAGGAACCAAATCCAGGTCCTCTGCAAGGGCAACAAGTGCTCTTAACAGCTGAACCATCTCTCTAGCCCTTTATTTCATCAACATTGTATGGTGTACATTTCCCACATTTAAAAAGCTCTGACTAGTGACTTCTTTTTTTCTCTCTTGTGACCTCCATTGAACTTACTGTGTAGCTGAGTGTGACCCTGAGTTTCTGATCCTCCTGTGTCTACTTCCCTGAGTGCTGAGATTATAGGCCCGGGCCACCACGCCTAGCTTATGCCTCGCTGGGGATGGAACTCAGCTCTGTGCATGGTAGGCAAGCCCTCCACCAAATGAACTGTGTCCCCAGTCCTTAGTGACATATTATTTAATTTCAGTGCTCCGTGGTTTATAACAGAATGGGATGTGTTGCAAAGGAAGCTGTCTTAATGTCAATGACAAACAACATCTCCTTGAGCTCTGCCGTAACAAAGTGCCATAGACTGGATGGCCTAAGTAGCAAAAAATACTTTTTTATAATCTGGAGTCTAAAATATAAAATCAAACTTCCATATGATTCTGTTTCTGGTGAGGACCCCTTTCCTGGCTCACAGATGGCCTTTCCTTGCAATGTGTTCAAGAGGTCTCTCTGTCTCTGTCTCTGTCTCTGTCTCTGTCTCTCTGTCTCTGTCTCTCTGTCTCTGTCTCTCTCTCTCTCTCTCTCTCTCTCTCTCTCTGTGTGTGTGTGTAGTTAGGTTTTATAAAGCTTCTAATCCTTCATGAATACAGTCATGGTGGAGGTAAAGATGTGCAACATGTGACTTTTGGGAACACACACTCAACCTCTTTGACCATGTAGTTCTGTGTTTGAAATCCTAGGATACAAACCAAACAGGAACTGAGGATGGCTGGGATCAATGTCGCTGAACACTAGGTCCCTTTTACCCTCTTTACAATTCTACCTGGTTTTCACAAGGACATCGTGTAAATCAGGGCTTTCTGTCAGAGAAGATGAGGAGTTTGTAATGCTTGTCTTTTGTTTTTATTTTTTCTAATTAACTTATTTTATTGGTGTTTTACCTGTATGTCTGCTGTGTGAGGGTGTTGGATCCTGGAGTTACACACAGTTGTGAGCTACCATGTGGGTGCTGGGAACTGAAAGCTGGTTCTCCAGGAGAGCAGCCAGTGCTCTCAACTGGGAGCCATCTCTCTGGCCCCTCCTGACAACCTTATATAAACCTGTGTCACTGTTCACCTCCAGAGGGGCCTTTGCTCCTCTGTCTCATCATTTCCTCTCTTATGATTCCTCCTCTCATTCTGCTTAAAAAGTAGTTTATTAAAAAAAAATTAAAATTGCTGGGCAGTGGTGGCACTCGAATTTAATCCCAGCACTGGGGAGGCAGAGGCAGGCAGATCTCTGTGAGTTCAAGACCAGCCTGATCTATAGAGTGAGTTCCAGGACAGCCAGGGAGGGGTACACAAAGAAACCCTGTCCAAAACAAAAATTATGTTTGTTTATTTTTTGTTCATGGCATCCACGTGGAGACCAGAGGACAACTTGCAGAAATCAATTCTCATGTCTACGATGTGGGTTCCACAGATCAAGCTCAGGTTGTCAGGACTGGGGACTGAGCCCTCTTGTCCACACTCATTCCACTCTAAAAAAGAAAAAGATGTATTTATTTATCATGGGTACAGTGTTCCTCCTGTATGTATCCTTGCAGACCAGAAGAGGGCACCAGATCTCATCACAGATGGTTGTGAGCCACCATGTGGGTGTTGGGAATTGACCAGGGTCCTCTGGAAGAGCAGCCAGTGCTCTTAACCTCTGAGCCATCTCTCCAGCCCTCATTCTACTTTTTAAGTCAGAAGAAAACTTTATAACATTCAATTATTAGGCTACATCATATCTTTTCTGTTTAAACATTTTACCACAGTGTGCCTGTGATTACTGTAATAAATTCTACTGTTACGATTTTCAACATGTATCTTGGATTTGATTTTTAAAATTCTTTATTTTGGTCTACGGCAGGTCACTCCAAATTCGTCCTTAGCATCGTAACATTATCCTGGTGTTACCAACACTGTCCTGCTGCTTGGTGGTGGTGATGTTTTGCAGTTTTAAATTATGATAAAAGTGGGCTGGAGAGATAGCTCAGAGGTTAAGAGCACTGGCTGCTCTTCCAGAGGTCCTGAGTTCAATTCCCAGCAACCACATGGTGGCTTACACCCATCTGTAATGAGATCTGGTGCCCCCTTCTGGCCTGCAGGTATACATGCAGGCAGAACACTGTATACATAAGCAATAAATAAATCTTTGAAAAAATATGATAAAAGCAAGAATAAAGGTCCAGGTATATCTGCTTTGAAAAGATTAGTCAAGTGCTAGTAAGGGGTGAACATTGAGCCCTGTCTCTCATGGATTCTGCTCTGCAATTGAGGTAACTCTCTACCGTTGACCAGTCAAGATGTCTGATGGTTTTTTTTTTTTTTTTTTTTTTTTTTTTTAAGATATATTTATTTATTATGTATACAGCATATATGACTGCAGGCCAGAAGAGGGCACCAGATCTCATTACAGATGGTTGTGAGCCACCATGTGGTTGCTGGGAATTGAACTCAGGACCTCTGGAAGAGCAGGCAGTGCTCTTAACCTCTGAGCCATCTCTCCAGGCCCCGTCTGATGGTTTTTTTAACCTTAAGTTTTATATTTTTTTTATTACATTTTGTGCTGGTTAGTTTTTTTTTTCTTTTTCTTTTTTTTTGGTCAATTTGAAGCAAGCTAGAGTCAAGAGAGAGAACCTCAGCTGAAGAGGTCTCTGCCCTGTAAGCAAGTCTGTGGAGGCATTACCTAGATCACATAGGCTAGCTGTAGGAGGGCCCTGCCCCTTGTGTGAAAGCGGGCTGAGCAAGCCATGGCAGCCTTCCCACATGGTCGCTGCCTCTGCCCCTGCTTCAGCTCTTGCCTGGGCTTCCCTTAGTGATAGACCACGATGAGAACACATAAGCTAAATACACTCTCTCCTTCCAAAGTGGTTTTGGCCGGAATGTTTTAATACAGCAACAGAGAAGCAAAGCAGGACCCATTTACTTCTGGTGAGTGCACACTTGCCACAGCAGAAATGTGGAGGTCAGAAGACATCTATCTTGTAGGACATGTTTTCCCCTTCCACCACATGGGTCCAGGGGATCACACTCAGATTGTCAGCCAGTGCCATTACCCAGATGACGAGCCATTTCACTGGTTTCTTTTCTTTTCTTCCTTTCTTCTTTTTTTGAGATAGGGTCTGCACCAGGCACATATGTGATACACAGATGTATCTGCACCCACACACATAAAATACAAATAAACTTTACAAAAATGAACCCAGGTGGATGTGTGTGTAGGTTATATGCAAGCCCTTTTATTTTATTTATTTTAAAATATATTTTTACCCTTTGAGAATTGCATACAATATAATGTAATCATATCCATCCCCCAATTCCTACCAGATCCCAACTTCATGTCCTCATAAAAACAAACAAACAAACAAACAAACCCACAGAGTCCAATTTTCTGCTACCCATATTCCCATGGGTATGGGGCCATCCACTGGACGGTGGTCAAACTGCCAGAGGCCACACCCCTAAAGAAAACCGTCTTTGTCCCCCTCCAGAAGCCATCAGCCATCAATAGCTCCCCGATCAATAGCTCCCCAATCAGGGGTGGGTTTATTTTACTTTTTATTGAGACACAGTCCCATGTATCCCAGGCTGGACTCAGTCTCCCTGTGTAGCCGAGGACGAGACTGAACGCCATGCTCTACCTCCCCACTCCGGGGACAACACGTGTGGGCCGCCCACTTTATATAGCAGTGGGGATGGACACGGGAGCTTCTCATTTGCTGGACTAGTCCTCTCCTGGCTGAGCCGCGTGCCGAGCCACTGTTCATTATTAGGGTCTTGGGTATCCCAGGATTTGGGGAGGTCTAAGAACCAATTCTCCGTAGATGTGGAGGGATGGACAGACTGTACGTGGGAAGACAGACTCACAGAGCGGATACTCAGAGCATCGAAGATGAAGTCATATTCACCTGGAGCCTCACTGATGCTCCTCGGTAGCCGAGGTCTGCGATTCCAGTTACTTGGGGATTTGATTGTGGTTGGTTTGGTGTGTTTTTTGGTTCAGGAAAGCCTGCCTACCCCTTCTTGCTGCAGGTGAAAGTTGTTCTTTTCCACGGCCTCCAGCGGCGTCTTGCAGACCGACTGGAACCAAGCGATCAAGCCCGGTTCTCTCTCACCGGCGAGTGTTCCGGCTGCGTGGCTGTTCCTCAGGCATAGCAGACGTGCCTCTGTGCCTTTGTACTTTCTGTTTCTTATGCCTGGCACACGCTACCATTCCAGGATTAAGTTTACCCCTCCCCCAAGAGTCATGCCAGGTAACGCCAGGGATGACTGTGGACACTAAGTACTTGCTGTACTTCTGGTGTACTTTACGACCGCAGTGTGGCAGCTGATGTGAGGGAGCGCCTGCTGTTTTCCACACTTTACTGTTGAAGACATCGGAAGTCACCGCGGAAGCGGCGCAGGTGGGCTCCTGGCTCGGGTTGCACCACGCTTCTTCACCCCTAAGCCCGGCCTCTGCAGCAGATCTCCTCTTTTCTGTGCTTTGCTAGCCAAACTAGGTCAAAGGTGGTTAGTTTCCATCTTTGCCATCTCCTTCTTGGCACACTAAGTAATATTAGTAATTGTTAATAATTTCTTTGTGGCCAACTTGACTATAATCCTTATTTGTTCAGCCCAGCACTAATCTAGGTGTTATTGTGAGGTAACTGTAAATTCCGAGGACTTATACAGTGCATGGATTTTGGGGAGAGGGAGTCATGGCGACTGATCTTCTGGAAGGGGCTGACTTAATCTGCCTTAAAAGCAGAACTGGAGTTTCCATGAGGTCTGCAGCTTCCAGCCTGCCATCTGCCCTATGGATTTTGGACCTGCTTAGCTGAGCCACGGTTACGTAAGCCAAGTCCTTGCAATAAATCTCTCTTCCAGTCGGGTGAATCTGTCTGGTAAAATCCTGGCGGATGCAGTTTGTTACAGCTGGCTTCTAATGGGTCAGTGTCTTCCCCATTTCCCTCACACTAAAGTCCCACCCTTGACTTTCTCCAGCGTACCTTTAAGAATCTTTCAGAATTCCTCAAGTTTTGAATGTGGTCACACTTGCATTAGGTCCAGTTTTCGATTGGATCATGAACCCTGTGAGAAATGAAGGCATTTCTTACATAATCTGTAAAACCTCAGACTGACTCTCACTGAAGCGGAAGTGGATTTACTAGGAAAATAACGAAGCCTATGCTACAGAACTGTCCTCTCTATCCCAACGTTTTTTCCTTCTTTTTAAAATTATCCCCCACCCCACATATGCTTTCTCTGTGTAGCCCTGGCTGTCCTACAACTTGCTCTGTAGACAGGCTGGCCTCAGACTCAGAGATCTGCTTGCCTTTGCCTCCCAGGTGCTGGGATTAAAGGTGTGTGCCACCACTGCCTAGCCTTAAAAATATTTTTTTCATACAGTATATTTGATCATGTTTTTCTGCTCCTCGATCCTCTCAGATGCTCTCTACTTCCCTACCCCCCAACATTATGTTCTTTCTCTCTCCTTCAAAGCAAAAATAAACGAACAACCCCCCCAACAAAAACACCAAAATCAAAATTAAAACCAAATAAGCAAAAGACTAAGAAGACAAGAAGATACCATACAAAACAAAAAATCCACAAAAATGCAATTGAGTTTGTTCTGTGCTGACCAACTACTCCTAGAGTGTGGTTGATATACCCAGCGACACTCCATCAGATTAAACGTATTTTCAATATTATGCTTTAGTGAAATTTACTTTACAATTTAGTTCCAAAGCCTGCCTCATGCAGTTGCATTATACTCTTATCAAGGATGAAGAGACCGATCATTCTGTTGATCATTAATACTTAATTTTGCCTATTAACAAAATGAATGAGTGAAGGAGAGAGTCTGTGTTTTGCACACAAATGACTAACCATAAGCACTGACGTTCCAACACCTCTGTGACGTATGACATGGGTAACTGGATCATATGGAAGAGGACCCTCCTCACTAATTTCCATAGTGGCTAGACGGGTTTACATTGCCACCAGTGGTATATAAGCGTTCCCTTCGGTCGTTATTCATTCTTGCCATTTTTTCTTTTAGATTTATTTTATTTTATTTTTTATTTTTTTGGTTTTTTGAGACAGGGTTTCTCTGTGTAGCTTTGCACCTTTCCCGGATCTCGCTCTGTAGACCAGGCTGGCCTCGAACTCACAGAGATCTGCCTGCCTCTGCCTCCCAAGTGCTGGGATTAAGGGTTATTTTATTTTGTATGTGTGAGAACATTGGTTCTCTCCTTTCCTTTTTGTTTGTGAGCCTAGCCTTTAACGGCTGAGCCATCTCTCCAGCCCTCTCCTTTCCTTTTTACATGGGTTCCAGGTTCCAACTCAGATCATCGGGGGTGTGCAACAAGCTCCTTTACCTGAAGAACCATCTCAATGGCCTGTCAGTGAGATTTGTAATCTACTCTTTCACCCAGAAGTCACTACACTCTCCAGAACAGGGGCTATTTTAATTGAGGAGTCTTGACTTCAGCAGGCAGAGGTGGCCTGGCTATCGATATGTCTGTTTAGAAAGTTTCTTTCCCCAGAAGCAGAACAGATACGGTCATCGGTAGTGATTTTCCCCATGAAGAAAGGCTTACGTTCTCCAGCAGTGGCTGCCTCTCTCCTTCAGTCCGGAGGTGGGAGAAACCCCTGCACAGAGCTCCCTCAGTGATGGCCGAGGACGGAGATGGATGGCTGTGCTCTGCCATGACCTCAATGGCTGTCAGTCCTGTCCTGCACTCTGACAGCGACACAGTTGTCGTAGGTGACTGCTCCCACTATTCTTTTAGAGGCCCTGTGGGCTGTGGGATGCAACCATAGAGCCGTGACACAGGCACCAAGGGTCCCCCAGGGTCCTCTGTCGGCGTCTGAGGGGCTGTGTGAGGTGACACCATGGATCTCATCTTCTGAGCTGGGACTGGTGGCTCACGCCTGGAATTCTAGCGCTAGGGAGGCCGAAGCCCTGGGACTGTTACAAGTTCCAGGCTGTTCAGGCTGAATAGTGAGTTCGAGGCTATCCTGAGCTACACTGAGACCTTATCTCAAGAAACCAAACCCCCAAACAGACAGACAGAAGCCCCCAATCACTATCTGCTTTTCCCCTTTAGTTATGTAACACTGGCACTGACGTGGACTTATTTGTACTCTGGGGTCAGAGGCCTCAGATCTTCTCACCATCTGCCGTGTGTGTGTGTGTGTGTGTGTGTGTGTGTGTGTGTGTGTGTGTGTGTGAGAGAGAGAGAGAGAGAGAGAGAGAGAGAGAGACAGATTTTCCTTACCCCAAATTCCTTTTCTTTCAGTTCACACATGCCTTTTTAAAATTACTCTTATTTATTTATTTATTTATTTAGGTTATTTGAGACAGGGTTTTTCTGTGTAGCTTTGGTGCCTGTCCTGGGACTCGATTTGTAGACCAGGCTGGCCTCGAACTCACAGAGATTCGCCTGCCTCTGCCTCCCAAGTGCTGGGATTAAAGGCGTGCGCCACCACCACCCAGCTCTTATTTTATTTTTTATTGAAACAGGGTTGCAACTGCAGCCCAGGCTAACCTGAAACTCACTCTGCGGCCCAGCTGGAAAGCATCCTGCTTCTGCTTGGTAAGTGCTAGGCTTGAGCCCTCATGCCTGACTTGCTCTCATCTGTCAGACAGTTTCATTAGGTAGCCCAGGCTGGCCTGGCACTCAGGCTTCCTGCCTGTCCTAATTTGCTTTCCATTGCTGTGATGAAAGGTTCTGATGGAGAACAACTTGGAGAGGAAAGGATTTATTCAGCTTATACGTTGAGATCACCCTTCATCATTGAGGGAAGTCAAGGCAGGAACCTGGAGGCAGGAACTGAAGCAGAGTCCGTGGAGGAGTGCTGCTTCCTGGCTTGCTCTTCATGGCTGTTGCACCTGTTTTCTCCGTCCCTCCCTCCCTCCCTTTCTGTCTCTCTCTTTTGTTTTTTGTTTTTTTTCGAGACAGAGTTTCTCTGTGTAGTTTTGGTGCCTGTCTTAGAACTCGCCATGTAGACCAGGCTGGCCTCGAACTCACAGAGATCCACCTGCCTCTGCCTCCTGGGTGCTGGGATTAAAGGCTGTGCCACCACCACCGCCCGGCTGCACCTGTTTTCTTATGCTACCCAGGACCATCTGCCCACGTGGTGACAATTTCTGGGCCCTCCCACATCAGCTATCTCTCAAGGAAATGCCCTACAGACTTGCCTACAGGCCGATCTCGGAGGTATTTTCTCAACTGAGACTCCCTCTTCCTCGATGACCCTAGCTTGTATCAAATTGACAGAGAGAAACAAACAAAAACCAAACCAGCACACTGCCTTAACCGTCTGTGTGCTGGGTTTAGAAGTGTGAGCCACGCTGCCAGGCTTTTGTGTGTGATTCGATCCATGCAAAAAAGTTCCTCTTTTTTAATTTTTGTGTTTGTGTAAGCTCACCTTCTCTGTGTACCTCCCATGTGCATATTTGGAAGCAAGGCGTTGTCATGATTCACCACAGTGTTGGTCACTTGTGTTTGCTAAGTTGGCAGTGACAGGGTTCTTATGTTTATATATGCATATATAATTTATAAAACATAAAATGTAAAAAGCACTTGCTGTTTGTCCAGAGTACCAGGGTTTGATTCCCAGCACCCAGGTCAGGTGGCTCACAACCAACCACCTGTGACTTCAACTCCAAGGGATCTGACATCTTCTGGCCTCCTTAGGCACCCTTGTTCATGTGGCGTTCACTCACACAATCACATACACATGGAAAGAAAACAGATCTTTAAGACTCAATTCTACTAAGAAGTAGGTTTAATTATGGGGTTGCATGTGCCCTCTGTGGGCTTATTTACTGGATTGCTGCCTGCACCCCAGAGGATTACGACTCTGCCTTTCCCAGTAACTGCAATAGTTCTCCACACGCTTCCTTCACACATGACAGAGTGTGGCTGGGTTCAGTCTTACCCAAGTGTTGTCCAGGGAACCACAGGTGCTGTGACAGCCTGTCACCGCACCCCTCCCCACCCCCCACCCCCCACGTCCTTCCTACTCCCTCTTCCACAATGTCCCCCGAGCCTTGATGGGATGACACTGGTGTTCTGTTGAGGACTGAGCACTCATTTGAGTCTGTGCATTAACTGCTCCTACTGGAAAACTAAACTGCCTTGACCAAGGTTGAGACCCGCGCTGTCTAAAGTTAGGATCACAGTTATTTAGAAATCAGTTTGACGTTTAGCAAAACAGTAGTAGGTGCTCCACTCGGGCCTATGACCTCCCCAGCTGCGGCTTTTTGACCACGTTACAGAACTAGGCATGGCTTTCCTCTTGCAGTCAGAAAGCAGTCGATTGCCCCCATAACATTCTTCTAGGTTGCATCCGTGGGCACACCCGACCCTGCCCGGCAGTCACTATTGTAGCATGCAGAGTCCACTGCCGGAGAGGACCATCGATGTCTTTTCTTCGTCAGCCACCTGCACAGAACCTTGGTGCTATGGAAGCTAGCTGTCAGGGAAGAAATGCCCAGGTCAGTTCCAGAATGATTTTTTTCCCCCTTCTTTAAAGATGTGGGTCTCAGGTACCCAAAGCTGACCTTGAACTCCCTATGTAGCCAAGCTTGACCTTGAACTTTTGACTCTCCTGTTGCTATTCCTGGAGTGTTCCAACTACAGGCCTGTATTACCATGGCTGGTTTATGTGGTATTGGAGTCCTACACAAGGCTGTGTGTATGCTGGACAAATAAATATTCTACCAGTTGAACCAGCTGCCCAACCCTCTGCTTTCTTAGAAATTCCCATAACACTCAAGGGCAGCACCCACAATCCTTTTCATTTTCACTTTAAAGTGAAAGTTCCTTTCTGAGCCCAGGGAAGAGTCGCATTTCATCTCTCAAGTGTTATGACTCCATCTTATCCCTGGACGAACTACTTTTTTATATCATTTATTTGTTTAGATAAAATGGGGCTGTTTTTTGGTTGTGTTTAGAAGCAGGGTCTCATGTAGCCCAGGCTGGCTTTGAATTCCCCTGCGTAGCTGAGGCTGGCCTTGAACTCATGCCTTTATCTCCCAAGTGCTGGGGTGATAGGAATACTGGGCTAAAATGTACCTTAAAACATCCAGACTTTTCTAAGTGTCTAGAGAGAAAAACACTCCTTTGAGAATTCCAAGTGCTTAAGAACCTATACGATTCCAAATTCGCATTTGCCCTGACAGCTCCCCTGCGTTAGAATGGAGGTATCATTTTAGTAGATCTTATAAACCCGTGTCTAAGTCCACTTTCCAACTCTGTCTGTCCACACTAGATGTCACTGTCTACCCGGTGAATCACGGAGCTAAGCATTGTGAGTTAATTAGGCAGGAAAGCTGTTTGGGAAATGGTTCAGAAGCGGCTGCAAAAACATATTTTCAATTACTTCCAAATAGAATGTTTTCCCTGACAGTTTGCAAAGAAGCATTCATTATTTCTCTGGGAAAAAGAAACCCTTCAAAAGCCATTATAGCAAAGAGGAGTAGAGTTGGCGACAGCCTTTCTCCCTAAGGCCTGGGAGGGCAGGCCGGTGTGTCAGTGGTGTGGAAAGAGGGCGTGCCCTCCAGGTTTCCTCAGCAGCAGGGGCGTGCTGCCACCCGGGACTCTCACCGACACCCCAAAGGGGACCCCCTCAAGAATGAAGGAAGCTTCTGGGACTCTGTTTCTTTTTCTCCCTTTAACCGGCATTTTCCATCAGGGAGGCTGTGTGTGAATCTGCTAATTGGATGGCAAAGGAGAAAGAAGCCGGAAGCGTGACCCCTTCGGAGAGGAAATTCTTTACTTGCAGGATTTTGATGACAAAAACAATAAGTGTTTCATGGATGATGACCCTGCTCTCCTTATTCCACACGAAGACAGAAGAGACTTAAAACCAACTTAAATTGAATCTCACCTCCAGTGTTATCAAGAGAGACGGCTTGTTAGAGGTCTCTAGGCTAACTATGCCTATTACAAGGATTTGTGTAGCAAAGACAGGCTCCAAGAGCCTTGAGGTCTGCTCTGTAGCTGTGTGTATGTGTGTGTATGTGTGTGTGTATGTGTATCTATCTATCTACCTACCTATCTATCTTTTTTTGGGGGGGGAGCAGGGTCTCATGTAGCCTATGCTGGCCTCAAATTAGCTATGCCAAGTGTGACCTTGAATTAATTTTCCTGCCTCCATCTCTTAAGTAATGAGATTCTAGGTGTGCATCACCATACTGAGATTAAAAATATATATATAAGTCTTATTCTGTGTCCTAGAATAATGGCCAGGAATTTACTTTGTATCATGGACTATTTTTGAACTTAGGGTGATTCCCCTGCCTCAGCCTCTCAAGCACTGGGATTAAAAGTGTATGCTACCACACTAGAGCCTCATGAGTAATTATTTTCTTTTTTTCCTCCTCCTTCTTCCCCCCTGCTCCTCCTTTTGTTTTTCTTTTTTTTAAAAATTTATTTATTTTATGTGCATTGGTGTTTTGCCTGCATGTGTGTTTGTGCGAGGGTGGTGCATCCTCTGGAACTGTAGTTACAGACAGTTGTGGGCTGCCATGTGGATGCTGGGAACTGAACTCAGGACCTCTGGAAAAGCAGCCACTGCTCTTAACCACTGAGCTACCTCTGCAGCCCTTGTCTGTCTTTTTTGAGACAGGGTCTCCCTATGTAGCTGTGGTGGGCTTTAGCTCACTGTATAAACTAGGCTGGCCTCAAACTTGTGAAGACCCTCCTGCCTCTGTCTTATACTGCTGCAGTTACTGGAGTGAGCTACCATGCCTGGGTCTGATTAGTTCTTTAGGCTAAAGACTGTAGGCAATTGCCTTTTTGTTTTCTTCCTTCCTCCCCACCTCCCTCCTCCTTTGTTTGATTTTTTGAGACTGGTTTCTTTATGTAGCCTTGGCTGGAATTAATTTTGTAGACCAGGCTGGCCTCGAACTCACAGAGATCCGCCTGCCTCTGCTTCCTGAGTGCTGGGATTAAAGGCGTGCACCACTACTGCATGACTTGTCTTTTTTTTTTTTTTTTTTCTTTCTTAAGGACAACTTACATTTTATCTATCAGCAGCACACAGACATTCCCGGGTCTTTGCACTTCTGCCTTGGAACTTTTTAGTAGTGACTTTGGGTAGGTTAGGAGTCTTCCTTGTGGGAAACAGATTTGTGTAACACCAGCCTTAAGATAAATGCCCTAGCAACTTAGTGAAGGAGTTTTTATATTAGATCACAGGAAGAGTAAATACACGATAAAAAGTAACAGCATTATCTCTGGCTCTGCGTTTACTACATTGGCGATAGCTTAGTTTTAATTACCATTATAAATACTTCATAGTCTACTAATAAATGTCTTGCAGTATATTCAGGAAAATGCAATAAACTCTGTCAGGTGGGAATTCACTGGAGTTCTTGGCTTCAGAATCTCTGCCAGAAAGAAGGATAAAACTGCCTCTTTTTGCAGGTAAGAATTATTGGAAAGACTGATAAGGGAGTGAGTTGTGGCTAGGGTCTATAATCATCATTGCCACCAGGACAGAATGTGGAGAATAAGCCCGCATATTAATGTGTTGCAGACATGAGGTCATGCCAAAGCTTACCAAGAGCTGTAGACACAGCGCTTAGTGGAAAGATGGAGTCTACGTTAGTTAGATCTTGCTTTTGAGGGGAGGGGACTTAAGACATTGTTTTTAGTCGAGTGAGCAAAATATACTGGCACAAAATATTCAAATTGGGAGACTGAACAGGTTTGGCAACTGAGTGTGGTGGTATACATCTGTAATCTTGGAATTTAGGAGGCTGAGGTAGGATTTTGAGTTTGAGGCCAATCTACAGAGAATGGCTGTCTTCAAATAAAAAGCCAGGACTCTGGGTTATAATCTTTATTCATGCTGACTTGAGGGATCCTACTGGAAGTCATGAGGTGATTTATTATTATTTTATTTTGTTTGTCTTTTTCAAGCCGGAGTCTTGTGTAGCCCACACTGGCCTTGACCTCCCTATGTAGTCCAAACTCTCCTGTGGGTTCCAGACACAAAGCTGGTCCTGGGGAGAACTTCTGTACTAGTTTTTGCTGGTGGCTAGGCCTAGAGTGTGGGTTAAGCATCTGATTCTGAGGAGACTCTGATTCTACCAGCTGGGCTGAAAAAGGATCTGGGGCCTCCACCGCTAATGCTGTCTTACATCTCCCAGAAAATGTGGCCTCTGCCACCCAGCCCTGGTTCTGATGTATGCGCACACTTCTGGCTAGCTGGGATACATAGTTGGACCCATTTGTTTTGAGTCTTATCATTAGGAAGGGTGAGGAGTGTGTGGGCAGCATCTTCAATGTTCATCCTGTTCCTTAGGACAATAGTCACTGCTTAAATCCTCCCACCCCATGACCCGAAAAAGAGAAAAATTAGAAGATTTTATAGCTACACCTGCAAAATAACCTTTTCTTTAACTTAAAAAATTATCTTAAGCCAGGCAGTGATGGTACACACCTTAAATCCCAGCACTCAAGAGGCAGAGGCAGGCAGATCTCTGAGTTCGAGGCCAGCCTGGTCTACAGAATGAGTTCCAGGACAGCCAGGGCTACACAGAGAAACCCTGTCTTGAAAAATAAAAACAAACAAACAAAAATACCTTAATTGATGTGCATGGATTGTGTGGATCATATGTGTGTGGATATCAGAAGATGCTTGCAGGAGTTGATTCCTTTAGTCCTGAGTCCTGGGGATGGGATTCAGGTCGTCAGGCTTGGCAGCAGGTGCCTTAGCACAAGGAGCGGTCCTCACCAGCCTACAAAATAACGTTTCCTGAAACCATATCAGTTTTCTGGCAGAGCGGTTGCCTTTATTCTGTCCTAGATGCAACTGCCTCCCAACGACTGGTGAGGGACCCTTTACACAAGTTTGTAAAATGCTTGGAGAAGCTTCTAGACGGAAAGACTCTGTGCAAGCATAAGGCGCTGTGATCACTTGTCTGGGAGTTTGTGTTTTGTTACTAAGCATCCTCCCTCGTGACACGCGGATCAGCACGGTTTATTATAAGCGTGGCCATATGTGGCTTCTCATAGCTCCGTTACTGGCCTGTGGAGGGTCTGGGCCTTACTGACTTTCCAGATCAGAACAAAAGCATCCATAAAAGTGTAATGAAACAGCCGCAGAGGCATGGGGGATTGGAGTGTTCATCTTCCCCTACCAACGGTGGTGAATCTAACACCCCAATCCATCAGAGCTTGCAGACAAAAGCCACAAATCTTTTTTTGTTTTGTTTTGTTCCACATCCTGGCACTGTGACAAGTCCATATTATACTCTGTCTAGAATCTCTCTTGCAACCTCACTAAGTCCCAGCAAGTTCACAAAAAGGGCCGAGGCCAATAACCCCCAGAATGCCGGGTGATCGTTTATTTATGTGCTTACCTTGATCCTCATCTGTCTGTACCAAGGGCCTTTCCAGAAGAACTTCATAAAAAGTAATGTTAAGTGACATCCATCACACATCCTGCTTCTTTTTCCATTTCCTGCTTCTTTAATAGATCCCTCCAGAGGGTGGGGAAGAGCGCAGCCTCTCCCAGACAATCCGATTACCACACTCTCTCCAAGCCCGTCAACAATTGTTTTGCTGTGGAGTGAGTGAAATGTGCTTTTGAAAAGATGACATGGGTGTTGTTTGTAGATGTCTGTACCGATATTTGCCTGCCATTTTCCTTGACCCCACATCATTAGGAGCCCTTTCCACCATCCAGGAGTCTCCTGAAGGGCTCGAGGAAGGAGGCAGGGACATAATAGCCACATCTTGTGCTTAGCATCATCGCTCAGGAAATTTCGAGCACTTACCAACATAAACGTCCTCTAGTCATCTGATACAAATCCTGGGAAGTGCTGGGGTTCATGGTGATTTGCTCCCCATCAATTCTGATTAGGGTGGACAGGTGCATTATGGGAAGAGAAAGTCTCTGTATAAAGGTGCACTTGGGGTTTCTATGTGGGGGAGCAGTTTAGTCTTCCTGCCTCGCCCTTGCCTCCTCTCCCTACCTCGGCCTCATCCTGCGCCTTGAATCCTGCATTGCTCTGAAGAAATACAAATTGTTTCAAAGCTGATTCTTTCAATCATTCACTCGGCTGGCAGGTGACTTCGGTTTTTAGATGTGTGACCACGTGGTCTTTGAAGTGTGTTTTGAGGGGGGGTCTCCATTACAAACCCTTCCTCCAGTTTGGACATATCCGTGCCCAGGTTTATTACCAGTTGAGGGGAGGGCTGAGCTGAGGGAAGAGCAAGAGGAGCGTTAGGGCTCAGCTGAGTCTCTCAGGAAGGTTGTCTTGTTTCCTTCTTCGCTTTTAACCCTTTGATCAGGTCCGGGGTTCCTCGCTGCTCCCACAGTTTTATGCACACATCTTCATCACTGCATTGACCACCTGCAAACTAGCTGCTTGTCTTGCATGTTGTTACTCGGTGGTTATTAGTCATTGTTAAAGCGTGGTGGAAAGACTAAAAGTAAATGTTTCAATTGCAGTGCAATGCCAAGATTAGCACGATGCGGTTACAATGATTCCTAACTTAGCATTTAAGTTTCTTTACTTCATTTCTTGTTTGATTAGCTTGAACAGATAGAAACCAGTATTGGTGACGAATCCCCTAGTAGGAAGCTGTTTGATAGGAAATCACTGACTGCAGGGCTGGAGTTGTGGATCAAAGGTAGAGTGCTCGCCTGGAATGAGAGAAGTCCTGGGTTCCACCCCTAGCTTGTGGGGCATGGGCATGGGGATGAGAGGGTCAGCAATCAGTGAGGACAATTTGAGCCTTGGTTCACTGCAGACATCGGAAGGCAAATGGTTAATCCATCCAGGAGAAATCAATGGGCCTAGGAAGTAATGATTGTTTTCTTTGTCCTCTTTAATGCTAAGATCTCTCTCCTCTTCTTTCCCTCCCCCTCCCCTTTCTCTTTTTGAGACAGGGTCTCACTATGTAGACTTGGTTGGCTTGGAACATGCCATATGGATCAGGCTGGCCTTGAACTCACAGAGATTCTTTTTGTTTTATTACTATTATTTTGTTTGTTTGTTTTGTCAAATACATACAAACCACTCAGTACTGTATGGAGATGGACCAGTTGGTCATTTTTTCTTTTTCTTTTTCTTTAAATCTTAAAGGGATGCATCTGCTTCTGACTTCCTTGTGCTGGGATTAAAGGCATGCATCACCATGCCTGGCCAGAAGACTCCCCCTTTTCTTAAGTATGGCTTCTAGGACAGAAAGAAGGGAACGGAGGTAGAGAGTGAAGGGTCTGCACATGTATCGCATGTTGCTGATGCCCTTAATCGCGTTAGATATTTAGATGCATGACGGGCTGAACTCACTTTCAATTTTATGAAGGAAGAA